TGTCCTGTCTTTTCCAAAGAGCATGCACTGTGCAACACAGTATTTTGTCCCATTTCGCCAAAGAGTATAATACACTAATAATAATAAAAATAATAATAATACTGGAATCTTATGTAGCGCACGTATGTACCAACAATTAGGTACTCAAGGCGCTGGTAATTATGTCTATTTTTAAAGACAGATAAATGAAGTCTTCACCGGAATATCCTTCTATTTGTGTTTATTTCTTCCGAGCGACAGTTGAATAGGTACAACAAATCTGATTCTGTCAAAACAAGTGTACCTATTTAAATTTTGAAGTACGTTTTGACAACTTGGTTCCTGAAGCTGAATAAATGTTAAAGAAAACTATATTGTACATTGGATTAAACGGTTTTCTTCCGTTGAATATACCTGTATTTTAAGATGCACATAAAATAATGACGTATTGAAACTAACTAAAGAATAAAAATGGGATGTTAATTATATTAGTTCTGATAAACAATAGAAATGCGTTATGTTCTTAATCGTCACCCAATCACCTTTAAAACGATATATTCCACTCCCTTCACCACATGAGTATTATTTCGATTGAGAAATGCATCTTTCAAATGCAAGACCGAGATCGTTCACTTAGAGGCAAACAATAATAACTCACATATATTTGGATCTTTTATCAATGGTGGCCGATGGTAGTATGCTATTCTGCCACCGTACGTGTTTTTCCACGATCTTGTCCAACTTTGTCTTAATTTCGCCCGCCACCGATTTCCAGCTGTAGGTTTGTAGTGCGTGTCGTCTGTTGGTCTTGCTGATCTGCTGCCGTAGATCCTCATTGCCTGCCAGTTTCTCGAATGCTACCAGGATTGCGGCTGAGTTTCCCGGAGGTACCTTCAAGCCGTTGACCCCGTCCTGAACGTTCTCATCCAGACCTCCCACCGCCGAGACGATGAGACAGCATCCCGCCGCCATGGCCTCGATGGCGACCAGCCCGAACGGCTCGTACAAGCTGGGCATGATCAGGATATCCGAGGCTGCCATCAGCAATGCCACCTGCCTGGGTTCCTTGGGTCCCAGAAACTGAGCGGAGGAATACCTGCCAATACTAGACGAGACGCCTTGACAATTGCCGACCAAACGGAAGGTGTGGGGCGTCGTGGCATCGGCCATGGCTTCCAGAGCGTAGCTGTATCCTTTCTGTTGGGCAAAGCGACCAACGTACAGAACATTCAGGCGATTGCAGTCAAAGCCCAGCTGCTTCTGTGCCTCGGCTTTGTCAAGTCCATGGAAGTTCTCCTCGTTGATGCCGCAAGGGATGTACACCGGATGACGGGGCTGCATCAGGTCGATCTCCCCGCGAGTCTGACAGACGTAGATATCGGCTAGCTCGCTGACGAGCTTCTCGACCCTGAGACGCGTGGGACCGATGGGTGCCATGATCTCCTGCTTGTACTTCATGCAGCCTAGGGACATTGAGGAATGGATGTGGGGCAGGCCCAGTGCCATCCCGACGTAGGCGCTCAGCCAGTAGCAGGTGAAGACCAGGTCAAAAGCGGCGGGGTTAATCTGCGAGATGAACTCACCCAGGTGTGGGTACAGCTGGTCGCGGTGAATATGCTTCTGTGGCCCGGCTACGATGAAGCGGCATCGCAACTTGTCAGATAGAACCACCACTCCGGTCTCGGTCTTGGATTCACTCCGTGTCAGCCAGGTCACATCACAGTTCAGGGCGCTCAGCTTCTTGCCCACTTCCCGGACGTAGATGTTCTGGCCGCCCTTCCCATCAGAACCCAATTCATGATCGGGAACAATGGGATTCCCATGGACCGAAATCATGACCACTTTCAGGGTACCATTGCTTGTACGTTGGTCCATCCCAATTGACATCATCGCCAGCAGTGTGTGGGCCGCTATTTAATGCAAGCAAGATATTTTGTCTTTCGTATCTCAGATAACACTGCCAGAAAGTTGGATGCTTTTGCCCTTAAGTGTAAAACACAAGTTGCACTCCTTCGCCCAAGCCGATCGTCTAGCCGAGTGAAACCATATCCAGCAGTCACCCGATCAATTACACAGCAACTTTAGGTAAAGTTATTCAAAAGTTCGTAAATATGAATTCGCAGTTATTTCGCCTTTTTATTAATTGCCCTGAAAGTGAAACAATATATTGTTGCTCAACTTGAATAACTAGTTCGGTTGGTTTGCAATATAATACAGTTACTACAGTATCAAATACCGCTCGTTGCTCGGATGGTTTACCGGGGGGGGGCTTATAGAAGTTACCTCCAAAATAATTGCTATAACAGAGTATGTTATATAACGCATATATATTTATATATATTATATCTATATTGATGTGCATACAGGTTAAAACAAATAGCTTGCAATGCGAAGTCGAGATACATTGCATTTTGATGTCTCGATCATCTTTCCATGGACCGGGCTATATTCTGCTCTGTTTGCTTTTGCGCCTAATATGAACTTCCCTGAATTTTGTAGTTCAAAACGTTTCGAAATTTGTGCTTCCGAATACAAAAACAAATGGTTCCCTTTGATTTATGAATACCCTCTTTCATACTAGAGCCATACCGCTCCGTTCACAAGTACCCCCTCACCGGCAAAGAAGGAACAGTTGGGGGTGACCGACCGACGCCATCTTGCCTGACTGTAATTCATTTGCCGCGGAGCGCGGCCACTGCGTGTAGGCCTACATAGTACAAATCCCCTAGTGTACGTGCGTCACACACAAGGAACGGTGCGCGTCAACCAGCGAAATGTCCCGCCCATGGGACGTCGTTGCTAGGTAAAAGGGCGCCTTCTTTCGTCGACGCACGGAGCCCATACGGCCGATTGCCTACTCATGTACGATGTATAACGGCGATTGGGTATGCCCAGGCATTTTTATGGGGTATATAAAGAGATAACAGTCTGCTAAGGCAATGTTTGAAACCTGCATATTTGTGCTAAGCAAACAGCAGATTTCAGTGTTTAACAGGTCCATGGAATATGCTGCCTTCATCCCAATAATCGCTCACTGTGCGCACTCAATCAAACAGTGATATGGTTGAACGCCGTAATCCCAAAAGAGCCGCTTTCTTGGCCACTCTGCCCATTCTGGTCCCAGATATGCTAAGACTTAGTTTCAATTAATTTGGTTTGCTATAGAATAGAAACCTTCATGCTCAGTATATACGCAAAGGTTGAGCGCAAGCAGTCAAAGTGTGCACGACTATGGAATCATAACTTTAAAAATGCGAACTTAAGAATTAACCCGCCTTGCACTTTGAGGACGCGACCTTGGACGTAATTAATACGATGAAATCGCTGGTCCGGAGGAGTCGTAATGAAAACGTAAGGTCTGTCACGAGTCAGTATGGCCTATCAGGCTGGCGTTCATCTCCGGTTTCCTTGGCAAGAAACGACTGAGAATATTTCCGTTTCCCCTGGACTCGGATGCCAGTCCATTGCAGGTTCCTCCCCAGCTAATGCTGGTACACATTTATACTCCTGGGTCGAAAGAGGCAAAGGGGGGGGGGGGGAGTGGGCTTGCCAGAGAAAACAATAATATGGCCAGCAGCTGGATTCGAACCCTTTCAGTCTCTGATCAGAAGTCACTCAAGCAGCACTCCCTTAAATTGATAGCAGTGCGCTTTAATAATAATAATAATAAAAACATGGGAGGAACTTGTGTTCTTCAGGTACTGATACATTCTAAGTGGCTTAATGCGAATCACAAATTACCATCCGATCGTAAATATATACATAAATTGAAGGAAAGAAATGTATTCGTATGTTGAAAGAGAACCCCAAAACCCCTCAAATTTTATGACTGAGCTTATAGGCGGTTGCCATTTACCAAAAATATAGATGTGGTTTGCATATAATGCAGGTATCTGATAATGCGCACGGCGTTTTTACCATCTGCGTTTGTTTAGCCTCCCGTATATAGTATACGGTACTAAGGGTATCTGGCTACATTTCTATTCACCGGATACTTCTAATTATATATCCTTTCAGGAAGTTGTGCAATAAAAACACTTAAATTGTCTGTTATACCAAACACATTTTTTTTTTATGAATGCCATTCTCTCGGCCGCTGGAGAAGCAAACATGACGAGTATTTTCTTAAATTTTAATGAGTGAAATAATTTGTCTTCTTTTTACAGAATTAGAATGTGTGGGTCTTCAAGTTACCGACAATATGAATAAAACAGTTAGAACTTTCATCACGTAGTCCTCAGTGTAATTCCAAGTATATAATTTGCACCGTAGAAGCCCCGTGAAAACATTTGGCTTAGCATGTTTTATCGATATTTATTATGAATTATTTTATTTTACATTAGTTGTTTTGTGGGGTAATCTTTGGATTTGTTTTTCTTATTTACAACGACAAAAAAAACTGACACAGGTTGAGAAATACAACCAAAAGCTCCTACCGTGCATTCCATGGTGTTCCATATTTGTCATCGGCGTCGCCTTTTTGGGGGGCGTCGCATTGTTAAGCTCTGGCAGGGATCATTTTGATAGATTTCATGCAAGACTTTCATGCAAGACGACCAGAGTTTATTATGCACTCGCACTTGTTTAAGCTTACCTGGTCTGTCAGTTTGCTCGGACAGGACCTGGCAACCCGACGCCTCTGTCAGTTGCAATAGGAATATAAAAATTGAACTTTGATTGCAGGGGGTAGTTAAGGTGAGGGGGGGGGGTAGTCATTTACTACTTTTGTGTGCATTGTGTTTCAAGCTTTGAGGCCATAGGGAGGGGTTAGATTCCCTTACCACCCCCCCTCCCCAAGATTCGCCACTGTTATGTTTTTCATTTTGAGGTAGTAATGGCAACTTCCTAAAATTGCATCTTTTTCGAGTATTTTACTCATACGTGGAGACTATTTAATTTCCTTTTTATCATTGTCAGAATTTGAAGGCTAGTATATGCAACAAGTAATAATCGGTACAGGAAAAGTTATCAGATGAACAAAAACTCACTGAATATAAAGAAACTCACTCAGACAAAGGGGATTGCACTTTAATCTAATTGTTTTAATTCTACCAAAGAAAAAAAAAAGAGAAGCTGTTACAATGCGCAAAAACGAAACAAAAAAGAAACAAATTAAGAATATCAACTTGCCTAAAATAATGAGAAAATACGTCGCAAACCGCTTCTTGTGTTACTGAATGAGTTTCATGGGTTTTTTTTCCAGATTTATTGATAGCTTATCCACATTGCTGCTCGGCTCAAGATCGTCAATTTGTTGTAATAAAATTAATGTCCAACGCGATTTTGAGCTGGAATGATGGGGTCCCTCACATTGTTTCTTTTGCTTCTAAAAGACCGTGGAATAAGCTCCATTTGTGCAGTTAGGTATTTTTGGCACCAATATAGTTTTGAACAAAAATCGAAATGCAAGGTGTCGTTAAAATTGGAACTTACGCCTTACGCACATGGGAGATGGCCAATTCAAATATTGGGTTGTGAGTTATAAATGCTTGACTCTTACGAATGTATCAATCATCGATGTATGCTATAATGTATTCCACGTTTCAATAACATCTGCCCATTCTTTCCACAGAATTCTTCTAGTATAAGAAGAATTTATTTTAAACGGTTCTTTTTAAGTTGAAGCAAGGTCATATCTTCAAAATTATATTCTAGAACCGAAACAAGAATCTTTTTTTGGATGGAATTATCTTCACGACTTGATATCAATTTCGAAAACACGGGGTTACTGTATTCAATTCGAGCGTTTCTGATTGGTTTCCACAGATGTTTGTATATTTGCCGATTTGGAGTGAACTTTGGGCACAGAAGATTCGAGCACCACTAACGTGCACTAAGGTGACTGGTAAAAAGAAAGCACGTGCTTTAGGTAAGTTTATGCACCTTCTTTATGCACCTTCTTTATGGCATAATATCCAACTTTGCTGTAGACAACGACTTTACAGCGACCGTTCCCATTCACCCCGACATTATCACTGGGGAAATCATGAAATGAATGCGATATTTACACATTTGTATTTAGATTGATTAGATTCTCGTTTTGACAGCCCGGTTGTTCTATGGAAAAGGGTTCCGTCCGGCGTAAACTCTTTTCCTCAGAAAGGGCTTTGGTTAAGAGTGTCCTATATTGCACGATCTTCCCCAAGTAAAAGTTTGGAAGTCATTTCTTCAGAATTCAAACTAGTAAATATTCTTGGTTAACTCAAATTTGGAACAAAAGCTGAATGGAACAAAAACGAAAATGAAAATTGAAACAAAAGCAATTCTATGGTTAGTTTTGTTACAGTTTAGCAGTGTAGTACCGCGTTTTGGACTCCTTTTATCAACGTGCACCATGAATACATCTCAGCAGGACATCAGCATAAGCATAACGTAGCCATAAGCAAGTTTTGTGAGTTATGATAGGACGTGTAATCTCGCACACTTATGTTGCAAAATAAGGACATGGATCGAAAACGCATGTGTCTTTGAAAACATATAGTTTCCTTAAACGGGAAGGACACAGCTGAAACAAATTATAGTATTTTTGTGATTGCTTCGTTACTGGCAAATGCTTTGATATATAACATGTACAGTCTTGGTTAGTTACGTTACGGCTTGTTACGTTACGGCTTGTTACGTTACGGCTCTTTATGTTATGGCTGAACACGTAACAGTTCGCCCATCTTTGATAAAATCATGCAAGCAACAGTTATCAAACAAATATGCTCTTTTGGCATAGAATGTTAACCTTTTGCTCTGCCTAAAAACAAGAATGCACAATAACACTCGCGTGCTGCATATTAAAACAAGGTGCCAACATGATACCAAAATCCATACCTTTGCTTACAGCCAAAAACTATGTGGTTTTCTTTTTACTCATAACTTGCTCATATTTCTTTCAAATGAAAAGTATTTTTGTCTCATTTGATTTGATACCACAGTCGAGATTGTGATGCTTGTAGTTCTACTGATTTAATACCCAATTTCCAACCGTGTCCAGGTCTCCGGGGAATCGCCCATAAAATGATGATATTGAAAACCACACGATTCAAATAAATCGAAAAGTAGGACTAAATATTCGTGGTTAACTCAAACTTGGAACAAAAGTCTTAAAGAAAAAAAAACGAAATTGAAAATAGGAACAAAATGAAATCGAAAATCAAAACTAATTCCAAGAAAAGTCAAATGAAGATAAACATTTGGTGTACCATGGTCGTTGCCATTTGTGGTTCAAGTCCGAGACGACGGCTGTTTCCTGCAACAAAAAGAGAATTGAAGATAAACTTACAATTGCTACCAGTAGTAAGTGGATAAGCATGCGTACGTATGTGGTATTTAATTTTGTTTTGATGAAAACAAAAAACAGTACTTCTTCCGTATTGTGTTTTAAATTTCCTGACGAGTCGGAAATTATAGAAGCAATGAAATCTTGCATTTTAAGCACAACGTGGCGCAACCGCAAACTGTTCTCATTAATCCTTTATTTTGAAAGAAAAGCCTTGGCCTCTCCTATTGATCATCTTTTGTACAATGCAGTCTTAGATGCACAGAATGTCGATAACTAAAGGGCCCGTTTTGGGGCGTGAAACCAAACTGGGCACTCTGTAGTAAATTTAGCTAGCCTCATAGCTACGAAATAGTAATTTGCAGTATTGAGTAGTGTAGCATATTGGTATGCGTAACTTATCGTAGTTTGTAGTATTTGGCACCTAATGTATTTGGCACATGAAGCTTGTTGCTGATGTTGGAAAGGTAATGCCTGTCATCATCTAACAAGACACCACAATACGAGTTACTGGTTTTCATCAGAGATGAAACGTTTTGCCCACCTGTGCCTTTCGAGATTTCATAAAGAGGCTGAAAGCTACAAAATACAAAGTAGTATTTTGTAGAATAGGGTACTTCACCCTCAATTAGTTATATTGGGGTTAGGATTTAACTTATGGTAAATATCGATTATCTTGCCTCACTCCGGCTAGGACAAGTTTTGTAAATGTGAAGCCAAAGTGTGAATAGTGTTGGGTGAACTTGTCCATTTTGTGCCACAGCGCCCTCAATTTTGCTAGCAGAAACAATGAGTAGTTTACCTTGATATGTCTACTGGTCTTGGTCATCAGTGTTTTGCTCCTGATCCTTCGACAAAAGCTGCTCCCGTCGCGGAAACAAGTCGATGTTGTCTCTCTTGACGTCATTATCTAAGACATTAAATCACAATAAAAAACTTTACATCATTGTAATAATTTTGTTATGCAATAAAAAGCTTACTGATCTTAAATGTACCGTTTTTGTCTCAAAGTGCCCCGATGATAGAGCACCCTCTTGTGGTCAACCGTAGATGGGCTTCTGTGAACTACCGAGCAGTTCAGTTTTCATATTGTCACTCTCTGATAATTCTGATGTCTTTGTTTCTATGTGAATAACTATTTCCCCGTGTCTAATGACATTTGATAACGTCATCGTGACTACATTACGGATTTTGTATATTAATAACAATATCTTTCTGCCAACCAAGTTTCATGATGATGAAATCTTTCCTTAAAATGTGCACATCTAAAGATGATGTCACATGACATGTTGTGACGTCAGCATGACGTCAAAAGAAAAACAAAGGATGTGTGCCGAAAAAGCCTTTGACGCTGACGCGTGTGCAAAGGTAAAAGAGGTAAACTGCTCTACCTTCACAGTTTCGCCACTCATCTTCCGCATAAAGGCAGTCAACGATGCGATCGCAGGTATACCTCATCGGAATTTCGTCACCATTATCACACTGGAAAACCTCTGGAAATCAAAACCAGTACAACCTTAGTTACACAATTGCAGGACTATTAGGATGTGTGCAAGAAGTTGATGTCTGACCTCTGTTTGAAACATAATTATAAAGGTTCATATATAGACAAGATGGATCAATACAAAGGCACACTTTCATGCCGCTTCTGTGATGGAAAAATTGTAAACAACAGAATGAGACAAAATATAATTAAGCACTAGAGTATAACAAAGTTATGCTTACAAGATAGCTATGTTTTCTTTAACAAACGGAGCACGAGAATATCGCCGAAATGTTTCGATAGTGCGACGTTCATGAGTCGGAAAAAAGGCCTGTCTGCTGCGTCAAGTAACTCTTTTGAATATTTACCGTTACAGTTGAATTCATCTTCGCCATAGTAACAGTCTTCGAAGCCGTCACACCTTTCGTAATCTTGAATACACTGGCTGCTGTTGTAGCAAAGCCACAAAGATGCACTGCAGACTGTAAAATAAAATTAACACAACGTGGGACATAAACTACAGATTCCGCGTTTCTACCAGATGCAAACGCATCTGGTATTTGAGAACAATATTTCATTGGACAGTCTCCACTTTCCTTTTCAATACTTTAGTATAAAACAGATAATACCACCCAAAGCAATATCTACGACACCACAAGAGAATGGTTACTGGTGACTCTTTACCTTTACAGTCGTATTCATCTTCGCCGAAGAAGCAGTTTGAGAATCCGTCACATCTTTCGTAGCTTTGAATACATTGGCCAATGTAGCATTGCCACTGATATGGTCTGCAATCGTGGTAGTAGGATGGTTCGGTGGCGTGGTCGAACGGGCTGTCAGTAGTAGGATATGGAGGAGCTTTGGTGTAGGAAAGAATAAACGGAAACTACTCTGTGTTTCTAATATCGAAGGCAAGTGTACGTTTGTGATACAAGGGCAAGTAAACTTGATCACACGTGTCTATGGTACAGTCAGTGATCGAACAGTGGTTTTTGAAAATGAGATTTGTTGCTTAAGACCGTGAAGATGCCGCTTTACCTGCATTGTGATCGTTCGGCTTTTGCCTAATTGCTTTTCTATGACACTTCACCTCACGGGAAGAAGTGCCGATATTTCGATGAAGTTAACCCCTACATCATACGTCTCGACGCAAGCGATGTGCTAGGAGATCTTAAATTCTAAACCTTTCTCCGCCTTATCAGAATTAATTAGGCTGTGTTCAGTTAGTAGTGAATGACACTCCCTTAGTAAATCACGCCAGTGCACACGCCCGGTCAGTTGCGTCTTCGCCAGTTTTAAAAGAAAGGATATATAACGGTATATTACCTTGGCATATCAAATTAGCATCCATGAGGTGGAAGCAACCTTCAGGGTCAGAGGTTGGGCATTTGAAAATCGAGCTTTCCCAACCTACACAGTCGACCCTACTAAAGTGGATAGGACCAACACCTTGACCGTATCTACTGTCAGACGGGAAATCCCAGACCGGTCCATAGCCGAGCTGTCTGCAGGCGACATCGGCGTCATCCCAGTTCCAGTCGACGTCGCACACCGTGCCCCAGACACCGTCAACAATCACCTCCACTCTGCCTTCATAGATGGTGTTGCCATTCACCAATCGTATCCCTCTCTCTAAGAAAAAAACCCCAAATAGTCGACACTGAGTAAAACAGTACTTTTGTGTCAATAACACGAAAACTGACGCAGTCGAGGATGTGCCAGATTTTACTGATGAGTTGTGTAGCCATTTTACCCCTGGAAGGATATGTTAATACTTAAGAAGTTGTTTAATATAAAAGTGTACCCTAAAAGTGTAATGTAGTCGTTTACCTATTATGTTGAATAATTCTTGCCCAACGTAAACAACTTTTCAGCACAGGCTGTGCTACGTTCTACTCATGTATTAGAACAAGTTTTACGTGCTATTATTTTTACTCGTAAGATTGTGTTTGCTTTTAAAGTCTAGTCTCTTAAAAACCACAACAACATCACAGGCAATTGAAATATTTCGTTAAATAAAAAAAAAATTTGTTGTATAAAACAGCTAACATGTTGATTGATATCAACATGATTTCGTGAGTTACATCATGAATAGTGTAGCAAGACAAGGTTCCAGACCTTGTCAAGCCACTTACCACAAGTAACTCCAGCGTCCTCCCCATGCCCACAGTCATGACTCAGCCAGCCACGATGTTGGCATTCAGCTAGGCTAGATTCATTCCCTTGGCAGTTCACATCGTCCAGCATGATCCGACCTGATCCTTGGCCGAAGTGAGCACTGCTCCAAGCATTGGATGCAGAAGGGTAACCATAAAGCATGCGACAGACGACATTAGCATCATTAAGATCCCATCCATCATCGCAGACTGTACCCCACTCGTCTTGGTAAAGAACCTCCACTCGACCCTCGTTAGAAGAGCCTCCATTAACGAGACGAATTGTATCGGGGCCTAGGTACAAAAACAACAAAATAACACAACCTAAAAACTAAAGGCTCTTTATATGAAACCACTATAAAGTACCTTAATGTTCGAAGCGCACAGACATCAGTTTCATACTGCGTCTACGGGATGTCCTTTTGTCAGTTCAAACACGGGTTAAAATGACAGAGAGCGCATGAACGCAGGTCTAAACACGCATGTGTAATTACAATCACGTTAGGGCGCACCACGACAGTTCTGCGCACACGCTGGGGAGCTGATGAGGCCATACTTAGCACTGCTGACGTTTTATAATCCTGTAAACTAAGACGCTTTTGGCCGATTTCATGTTTTCTGAAAGAGGAAGGGAGTCACTTATTGAAATAAGGAATTGGGATTCGATTGAAGGATAGTTTCCTTTTTTTCTTTCATTCATGAAAATCTCTCAAAACAGCAAGGGCTATCATAAAACATTTACATTACAAGCAAATTAAATTGTTCCTATCATAAGCTTAAAAATTTATTTTCCTTTGAATATTAAAGGAAGCACAAAAGGAAAACATCACCTACAGATATTTTTATATTCCTATAAAATGTACTGACTGCTAGTATGTGAGTTTCCAGCTAAAAAAGAGTGGGTGTTTTATTTTACTGATATTTTTCTATTTAGGCCTATTATGTAAGGCATATTCCCTCTTGAATAAGCAGCGAGCTAAAAATAGGCCTGACTTTAGTTATGGAGTGTTACTTAACAAATTTCGATTTTGTTTTGGCCTAACAATCATTCAATTCTCGCGCGGTGGGCTGGCTCTCGCTTCGATCAGTATAAATAATGCACGGACCTTGAACCAGTCTACTCGCATGGTTGTCCTGAAAGCGCGTACACAAATCCCCCAAACAAAACAAACTAATTAAACCTTTTTTTCAGAGGCGTATAGCCACTCAAAAAAATAGCAAAATATTTTTTGGTGGGTTAAAATACTCCCCAGGGAGCTGAGATGGTATTTGGAATGTTTCATGTGCCCAATGAGCAGGGGTAATAATGATGTAGCGCCTTGAGCACCAGTCCTGGTGGATACGTGCGCTTTATAAATAGCCAATATTATTATTATTATTATTATCTGAAAAACGTTCGGAGAAAATCAAATGTAATCCCATGTAAAGACCCCATAGTGACATTGTGTACCGAAGAGTGACGTCACGATGACGTCATCATGGGTCACGTGACGTCATCTTCAAAATGCAAACTTTAACACCCTCTATCTAGAGAACTGTACGTCCAATTGGGTTGAAACATGCTAAATTCAAAATTCTTTTTGTATTAGGTTTATATAATATGTATCTACACAACTTTTTTGAAAAAATATGTGACGCCACAATGACGTCATCAAAAAATGCGATTTGAAAAACACTGATCAGGGTAAGTCCGATTGTCTTGAAACTTGGTGGGTAGGTAGATACTGTTAATAGTATGCAAAATCTAAAATGACGTCATGGTGACGTCATCACTTATTATTTTTATGAATTTATCAAGGTGTTTACATTTTCTTCTAATGCACAAATTTGACAAAGTGTTTTTACACGTATTATTTAAACAATCTTCTTCTGTATGCACGTATGTTGTGTGGATAAGTCATGACTGCTAGTGTTTTTACAAGGCTAACGAAGATGAACTTTATTTTTGCAAAGTGCCAAATTTGGAAACTTTGTCTGTATGTCAACTTGTCAAGTACATACATGATCTGCCTGTGTTACAGGTAACTGTTGCATACAATTGGTTCGGGTCATGGGTATGGGATATATTCCAGGCTGATGTAGTTGAATTCTATCTGCAGTTATCAATGCAGGAGGAATGGACCCAGTTGACTGCTCGCTCAGTTGATCGAGCATACAGTCACATGCGTACGATTGGGTTGTGTCACTGTTGAAGTAGTACTCTGACAGCTAGTCTTATTTCAAGGCGAATAACTAACAATTGTCTAAGCTGTTACACACACTGTATTTGTTAATATTATAAGTGCAAATGTTATTGAAACTCAGTAGTCACACAATAATATTGATACATTTCGAGGCTAAACATTTTGTATTCTCAATTTGGATTATCGACGAAGCGAATTTGTTGTTAACATTATTTACTTAATTCACATGTAAATTTATAAAAACTCAAAAGTATAACGTAATTAAAAAAAAAAAAAAAAGGCGGAAAAGCCCTATGTTCTGTTTCGAACAGACATAGACCTCTAGTTTTTATTATTATTATTATAAATTGAAGTCATCAATATCAATGCAACTTGAGAATAAGAATGTTTACACTTTTATGGATGGGATGTGTTGGACAAAAAACAAGTTTGCATTACCTGAACAGTTGACACCAGCATCTAAAATATGGCGGCAGTTGTATACGGGGTCAAACCTGCAGTCGAGAATCGAGCTCTCCAGGCCATGGCAGTTCACATTTACATTATTACCAACACCCTGTCCATATGCACCGTAATCAGAGACACTAATGACATTTTGATAGCCAAGCTGTCTGCAGACAACATTAGCCGCATTCCAATTAAAAGTGTATCCGCAAAACGTCACCCAGGAACCTTCGACAAACATCTCCACTCTGCCTTCATAGATGGTGATGCCATTCACTAATCGTACCACGGAGGAGGGTGGATTGACGTCTACAGTGGGAGCAACGGTGTTTCCTATAAATATGATGAATGGAAAAAATTGATTGAAATACACATTAAGTGTAGTTGTAAATGTTTAAGGTAAGTCAGTTTGTGTAACAATAGCATGTCTGCAGATATTAGCAATTGCCGTAACAGTTGTATTAATCTTCGACAAAGTAGCAGAGTGAGTATCCGTCGCATCGTTGATAGTCTGGAATACATTGGCCGTTGTAGTAGCATCGTCACTCATATGATTTGCAGGCGAAGTAGGATGGTTCAGTGGTGTACTCTGGAAATGAAAAGCCAGTGAGATGTATCATTAAACAGACATGACGTATTTTTCAACTTTAGGAAACGTATCTGTTGAACATTTACCATAACAGTTGTATTCATCTTCGCCATAGTAGCAGTCAGAATAACCGTTGCATCTTTGGTAGTCTTGAATACATTGACCGTTGTAGTAGCATCGCCACTCATATGATCTGCAGCCGTAGTAGGATGGTTCAGTGGTGTACTCTGCAAATGAAAAGTGTGGTTTAAAAGACAGTTGCGAAGATGTGTTGTATCCCAATTTTAACAAACTTTTTTGTAATGAATATTTACCGTAACAGTTGTATTCATCTTCGCCATAGTAGCAGTCCGAGTATCCGTTGCATCGTTGATAGTCTTGAATACATTGACCGTTGTAGTAGCATCGCCACTCATATGAACTGCAGCCGTAGTAGGATGGTTCAGTGGTGTAGTCTAAAAATGAAAAGTGTTTTAAAAGACAGTAGCAAAGATGATTGTGTTGTTTCCCATCTTTAACAAACTTTTTTTTAAACAATATTTACCATAACAGTTGTATTCATCTTCGCCATAGTAGCAGTCTGAGTATCCGTTACATCTTTGGTAGTCTTGAATACATTGACCGTTGTAGTAGCATCGCCACTCATATGATCTGCAGCCGTAGAAGGATGGTTCAGTGGTGTACTCTGGAAATGAAAAGCCAGTGAGATGTATCATTAAACAGACATCAGGTATTTTTCAACTTTAGGAAACGTATCTGTTGAACATTTACCATAACAGTTGTATTCATCTTCGCCATAGTAGCAGTCAGAATAACCGTTGCATCTTTGGTAGTCTTGAATACATTGACCGTTGTAGTAGCATCGCCACTCATATGATCTGCAGCCGTAGTAGGATGGTTCAGTGGTGTACTCTGCAAATGAAAAGTGTGGTTTAAAAGACAGTTGCGAAGATGTGTTGTATCCCAATTTTAACAAACTTTTTTGTAATGAATATTTACCGTAACAGTTGTTTTCATCTTCGCCATAGTAGCAGTCCGAGTATCCGTTGCATCGTTGATAGTCTTGAATACATTGACCGTTGTAGTAGCATCGCCACTCATATGATCTGCAGCCGTAGTAGGATGGTTCAGTGGTGTAGTCTAAAAATGAAAAGTGTTTTAAAAGACAGTAGCAAAGATGATTGTGTTGTTTCCCATCTTTAACAAACTTTTTTTTGTAAACAATATTTACCATAACAGTTGTATTCATCTTCGCCATAGTAGCAGTCAGAGTATCCGTTACATCTTTGGTAGTCTTGAATACATTGACCGTTGTAGTAGCATCGCCACTCATATGATCTGCAGCCGTAGTAGGATGGTTCGGTGGTGTAGTCTGCAAATAAAAAGTGTGTTTTAAAAGACAGTGAGATGTACATATTTAAGTAAAGTTGTGCTATCTTTAAGAAACTCTATTTGTTGTGAATATTCATTTGAACAGTAATTTGTTTAATTTACCTTCGCTATGGTACACTCAGTGTTTTGGAGAATGTATTGACTTTGTAATCCATCGCTCCTTATATCATGGTGTGGTTTCGGTGCGTGGTTGTTAAAGAGAACGTGAAGTGTTAAATGATTACGTTTCTATATTTCATGTTTCATAATGCCGTTTCATCTTTTAACTCGTCAGAGTTTTTCTTTGCAGTTTTGGGTTAAAAGTAAAATCAAACCAGTTGTAAGAGCAAGACATCATAGCGGAAGAACGTTAGGGGCACAGTGGAAAATCAAAAACCCTGATTTTTACCTTCCCGATTAACGCGGTGAGAGTGCCCTGCCAAGGACAACTGTTTGTTCAAAGTTTCAAGTTCATCTGCTGTGTTCCAAGCATAAACTTACCACTGTAACAAGTAACTCCGGCGTCCTCGCTATGCCCACAGTTATGACTAAACCAACCACGATGTTGGCATTCAGCTAGGCTAGATTCATGTCCTTGGCAGTTTACATCGTCCAGCATGATCCGACCTGATCCTTGGCCGAAGTGAGCACTGCTCCAAGCATGGGAAGCAGATGGGTAACCAAGCATGCGACAGACGACATTAGCATCATTAAGGCCCCATCCATCATCACAGACTGTACCCCACTCGTCTTGGTAAAGAACCTCCACTCGACCATCGTTAGAAGAGCCTCCATTAACGAGACGAACTGGAGCTGAAGTGACAGAACATGAAATGTTTCGTGAAAAAGGTATTTAAAAAGGCTTTTGATATAACCCACTATTAAGTGCCTGAATAGTTCACGTTAATAGAAACACACAGACATCAGTTTCATTACTACGTCTATGAGGTGTCCCATTGTCAGTTCAAATACGGGTGAAATGATGAACAGCGTATGAACGCAAGTCCAAACAAGTCTTTTCAGGAGGTTGCAGACATCCAAAATAGCCAAAGTAGTTTTCGTTCAGAGAAAACAAAATCGATTTTGTTGAAGAGCAACGGACAGCACATCTATATAAGCGGCACCTTGACAAAGGACGAATCGTGAATTCAACCTCTTGGATCGCTGATATTGAAGTCAAGTTTGCATTACCTGAACATTCAACACCGGCATCTTCACTGTGGGAGCAGTCTTCAGAGTAATAGGATGTGCAATCTTAAAATCGAGCTTTCCGAACTATTGCTTTACACATGTACAGGGTGAATATGACCAACACCCTGGCCATATGTAGCGTATACGCGGGATACTATGTGTCACATGTAACATGTGTGTCACACTATTTACACGTGTCTATGAGGACACGTAGCGACTGGGTGTTTTTGCAAATCTGATGTTGTTTTACGCCGAGACGATGCCGCTTTACCGGCAGTATTATCGCCCTACGCTTAATTACTTCTCCAGCACACTTTACGTTAAAGGAAGAATTTCCCATATCATGGTCACGTGCATATTCCAATTAAGTTGACCCCTACATCATACGTTCGGACGCTAGACGTATTAGGACATCTTAAGCTCCAAATCTCCGCAATTATCAGAAATATCTAAACCTTGTTAAGATTACAGTTAGAGAACGCCGCGTCCCTAATCATGTACTTTTTGTATGCCATTTTTTTTCTAATACATTTTGGCAGAAACTTGGACGAACAAGTGAGTGTTACCTGAGCATGACACGCCAGCATCTTCGCTGTGGCTGCAGTAGTTAGGATACGAGATCTGCCATGGGCAGTCGAAAATCGAGTTTTCCGATCCGTCGCAGCGAAGATGTCCGAGGTGAATAGGACCAACACCCGGGCCATATGTAGCGTAACGCGGGGCACTAATGGCCGGTCCATAGCCAAGCTGTCTACAGATGACTTGGGCATCGTTCAAGTCCCATTCACGATCACACACCGTTCCCCAGGAACCGTCGCCAAAGACTTCCACTCGGCCTTCATAGATGGTGCTGCCATTCACTAATCGTACCATTGGGGAGGTTGAATTATCTTAATATATGGAAAAGAAGAAAAGGGGTTAAATTGCCATCTAATTCTAGTTGAAAATGTTCAACAAAAGTCGTTTTGTGTTACGGTAAGACGGCTCTACATACCTCAAAATTTGAGTTGATCTAATAATAACAGTCACCCGACATGATAATGTTATGTGATTTTCAACAATTGAAAAACAATTTAAAATTTAAATCGATACGGCCACCAAGCAAAGCGTGCAAAATGCAACGTTTGAATTATTAAGAAATGAGATTGTAACCGCATATGAAATGCAAAATGACGTCATGATTTTTGCCGAATTTAAATCTTACACTAATTTCGTCTAGGAACAAAGACATAATGATGAGGGAATTTTGACGTCATAAGTGAAAACGTTTTTGAATGCCCAAAATCGGCGAATCTTTTACGTACATTTTGGCAGTGATTGGACGAATAAGTCTGTACATTACCTGAGCAAACAACACCAGCATCTCGGCTGTGGCTGCAGTGACCAAACATGATAGTCGATGGGCAATCGAGAATCGAGCTTTCTGCACCGTTACAGTTGACATGTGAAAAGTGAATAGGACCCACACCGTTCCCAAATTGAGAGAAGGCTGGGGCAAAAATGGCCGGTCCATAGCCAAGTTGTCTGCAGATGACACGAGCATCGTCAATTCCCCAGTCATGATCACACACCGTTCCCCAGGAACCGTTGACAAACACCTCCACTCTTCCGCCATAGATGGTGCTGCCATTCACTAATCGTACCACGGAGGAGGGTGGATTGACGTCTACAGTAGGAGCAACGGTGTTTCCTATCAATATGACGAATGTCATGAATGGTTTGAAATACACAGTTAAGTCAAGTTGTTGTAAATGTTCAAAGAAAGTCAATTTCTGTCACAGAAAAATAGCTGCAGATGTGTAATTACCGTAACAGTTGTATTCATCTTCGCCATAGTAGCAGTCAGAGTATCCGTTGCATCTTTGATAGTCTTGAATACATTGACCGTTGTAGTAGCATCGCCACTCATATGATCTGCAGCCGTAGTAGGATGGTTCAGTGGTGTAGTCTGCAAATGAAAAGTCAGTGAGATGTATTATTAAAAAAAAAAAACATGGGGTATGTTCCAACTTTAGGAAACGTTTTTTTTGTACATATTTACCATAACAGTTGTATTCGTCTTCGCCATAGTAGCAGTCAGAATACCCGTTGCATCTTTGGTAGTCTTGAATACATTGGCCGTTGTAGTAGCATCGCCACTCATATGATCTGCAGCTGTAGTAGGATGGTTCGGTGGTGTAGTCTGCAAATAAAAAGTGTGTTTTAAAAGACAGTAGCAAAGATGTATTGTGTCCCATCTTTAACAAACTTTTTTTTGTAAACAATATTTACCAGAACAGTTGTATTCATCTTCGCCGTAGTAGCAGTCAGAATACCCGTTGCATCTTTGGTAGTCTTGAATACATTGGCCGTTGTAGTAGCATCGCCACTCATATGATCTGCAGCCGTAGTAGGATGGTTCGGTGGTGTAGTCTGCAAATAAAAAGTGTGTTTTAAAAGACAGTAGCAAAGATGTGTTGTGTCCCATCTTAAACAACCTTTTTTTTGTAAACAATATTTACCATAACAGTTGTATTCATCTTCGCCGTAGTAGCAGTCAGAATACCCGTTGCATCGTTGGTAGTCTTGAATACATTGGCCGTTGTAGTAGCATCGCCACTCATATGATCTGCAGCCGTAGTAGGATGGTTCAGTGGTGTAGTCTGCAAATGAAAAGTCAGTGAGATGTGTTATTAAAAAAAAAAAACATGGGGTATGTTCCAACTTTAGGAAACGTATTTGTTGTACATATTTACCATAACAGTTGTATTCGTCTTCGCCATAGTAGCAGTCAGAATACCCGTTGCATCGTTGGTAGTCTTGAATACATTGGCCGTTGTAGTAGCATCGCCACTCATATGATCTGCAGCCGTAGTAGGATGGTTCAGTGGTGTAGTCTGCAAATGAAAAGTCAGTGAGATGTGTTATCAAAAAAAAAAACATGGGGTATGTTCCAACTTTAGGAAACGTATTTGTTGTACATATTTACCATAACAGTTGTATTCGTCTTCGCCATAGTAGCAGTCAGAATACCCGTTGCATCGTTGGTAGTCTTGAATACATTGGCCGTTGTAGTAGCATCGCCACTCATATGATCTGCAGCCGTAGTAGGATGGTTCGGTGGTGTAGTCTGCAAATAAAAAGTGTGTTTTAAAAGACAGTAGCAAAGATGTGTTGTGTCCCATCTTAAACAACCTTTTTTTGTAAACAATATTTACCATAACAGTTGTATTCATCTTCGCCGTAGTAGCAGTCAGAATACCCGTTGCATCTTTGGTAGTCTTGAATACATTGGCCGTTGTAGTAGCATCGCCACTCATATGATCTGCAGCCGTAGTAGGATGGTTCGGTGGTGTAGTCTGCAAATAAAAAGTGTGTTTTAAAAGACAGTAGCAAAGATGTGTTGTGTCCCATCTTTAACAAACTTTTTTTTGTAAACAATATTTACCATAACAGTTGTATTCATCTTCGCCATAGTAGCAGTCAGAGTATCCGTTGCATCGTTGATAGTCTTGAATACATTGGCCGTTGTAGTAGCATCGCCACTCATATGATCTGCAGCCGTAGTAGGATGGTTCGGTGGTGTAGTCTGCAAATAAAAAGTGTGTTTTAAAAGACAGTAGCAAAGATGTGTTGTGTCCCATCTTTAACAAACTTTTGTTTACAATGAATATTTACCATAACAGTTGTATTCATCTTCGCCATAGTAGCAGTCAGAATACCCGTTGCACCTTTGGTAGTCTTGAATACATTGGCCGTTGTAGTAGCATCGCCACTCATATGATCTGCAGCCGTAGTAGGATGGTTCAGTGGTGTAGTCTGCAAATGAAAAGTCAGTGAGATGTGTTATTAAAAAAACAAAACATGGGGTATGTTCCAACTTTGGGAAACGTATTTGTTGTACATATTTACCATAACAGTTGTATTCGTCTTCGCCATAGTAGCAGTCAGAATACCCGTTGCATCGTTGGTAGTCTTGAATACATTGACCGTTGTAGTAGCATCGCCACTCATATGATCTGCAGCCGTAGTAGGATGGTTCAGTGGTGTAGTCTGCAAATGAAAAGTCAGTGAGATGTATTATTAAAATAAAAAACATGGAGTATGTTCCAACTTTAGGAAACGTATTTGTTGTACATATTTACCATAACAGTTGGATTCGTCTTCGCCATAGTAGCAGTCAGAGTATCCGTTGCATCGTTGGTAGTCTTGAATACACTGACCGTTGTAGTAGCATCGCCACTCATATGAACTGCAGCCGTAGTAGGATGGTTCGGTGGTGTAGTCTGGAATTTGAGTATATTTCAAGAAATTAATGAAACTAGTCCAGTGCACGTTCAAAACATGCCTGCTTAAACGGACTCGCTCCGGTAAACACTTAAACATGTCGGTATAGAGTGCATTGCCCGTGCAAATAGCGCGCCATATCTGCTCCTCACCGTTGCGCGATCGTGCCCTTTTAAAAATGGTCGAGGCCCACTTCATCGTTGCTCGATCTCCCTCCTTCAAGAAATTCTCGAGACCATACATCCAACCACCATGTAGAAATGCATTCATATTGCGCGGAATAGAATGCAGTGCCCGTTCAAAATGTGCAGCAGTGCGCGGCACGGTCTGTATACAGGGTGAGTAAAAAAACAGAAACCCAAATGTCGAGACCATTGTTTTAGTAAAGTTCTGCATGTAGCACTTTCGATATCTGCAATAAAAAAACTCAATTCACTAGCTTTTTTAGTACAAGAATCATTCAAATCACTCAGGTACTTTTGAAATTACCGAATTTTAAACACCACCATCGTATTAAAGTTCTGTCCACGGATTACGTAAAGGTAAATGTTCTTTCAGCAAAACGAAAACAAATCACATGGGGATGTGTGTGAACTGTTTTCGTTTTGCTTAAAGAATGCACACCATTGTCGAGTTCGCTGACTGCACTTCATTAGTGGAGAAATCGGTAGCTGAAAATCTTGACGTCACGCTGAGTCAATTTGTTCCCGCTTCTGAATTGATCATTTAAAGCACCGTGGAGGGTGATGTTTATAATAAAAGAACGATTTAATTCCTTAAAAGTCTTCCGGAATGATTTTAGCCAAAAACGATTCCTGCTCAACCTGTCGCTGGTGACCCTAACCCTAACCTGTGTATAATGGATGGAAGTAGACGGACGGACACCATAAATAGCCATAAAGTGGCGTATGTTTTTAATTTGTAGCCTATACCTACGTCATTTATGCTCGGAATTCGGGCGATTCACAATGCGGTGCGCCATCAAGATTTTGCCACGGAGAGTTCATTTTCCCAGTACATTGTGGGAGATGGTCGACAAATTCACAGCGCTGGACATTTGAAATAGTTAGTTTTTCCGGTCATTAGTTTCTTAAGCGTACGATTCGAATTTATGTTTGCCCTTCTCTGTCTTTTTATCAATATCGTGTTGTTCGTAAGGCGGCAGAACACTGTGTACCCAGTCTATAACAGATTAGCTCAAGTTGTCTACTGGCACTCGTTCCAATGGGCCGTGTTTTGTCGACCGTAAACTTGAAAAATGGACTCTCAGTGCGACCTCCTCTTGGAGGCACAGTGCATTGTTAATCGCCCGAATTGGAGTTACAAGTTTGACTGTATTCTACCTAAATCTTGCATGTTTAATGGCTTCCGTTTAATGAGGGTGCAAGATTCAAACTTTATGCCCCGACACGATACTTTAAATTCATGCAGGGATAGATCTGCTCACAACTGATGATGACGTACCTGTCATTGCGACGCTTTGGGCAACAATATTGAACCCTTGATAGGTGACACTACCGTCTGAAGTGAACCTCAGCCACATGTTGTTTCCTGATGAAACCTTGTCAGTTGGTACTACGCTCCCAGTTACGGAAAAGAGCTCCATTTTAGAGATGTCATCTCCATCGCCTCCCTTCAGTCTGTCGTACCCATTCTCGATACGAAAGGACATGAATGTGAGCTGGATGATACGCCCTTTACCAGTCCGAAGATACCAGATGTCATCAGCATAGTTGGGGTAGTTGTTCGGGTAGTTGGCAGAGGTTATGGTGTAATTACTCTCTGCACCTATGTATACAGTTCGAGCTATGGACAGATCCAACGGAAGTGTATTAACTTCAGTCATTTAATAAACCACCAAAAAGACAACTAAACCGTCATTGCTTGAACGTGAGAGCAAACTTCAAAACAAGCCTGCTTATAAGACGTCAGTTTTGAAGACACTCGACAGAAAGCGCATTTCCTCATAGTACTTTCGCACCGTATGCAGCACTTTGCCTGTTGAACAAGAACGACGAGGGCCTAGTAAATTTGGTCCTAGGCCAGTGTACGAGACAGAGAAAGCGCGCGCACAAACTTCTATTCAATTCGGCCGATTCACATTGCAGTGCGTCGCCTAAGTTTGCGACGGAGACTTTATTTTGCCCAGTGCATTGTGGGAAATGGTCGTCAAATTCGCAGTGCAGAACATTTGGAATTATTAGTTTCCATGGTAAATGTTAGTGGCGTACTGCATTGTGAATCGCCCAATTGGTTCCAAATGGCTATTCATTGGTTGTTTTCACAAGTGTGTGGTCTAAATAGTGGGCCAGATGTAGCATTTTGATTGGCGTGAACGTTACGGAGTAATCCTATACAATAGCACTTACAGGCTTTCTTGACCTGCCTACAGCAGTCATCAGTCACAAGTGAGAGTCAGTAAGTCTGTCAGTTAGTCAGTCAGACAGTGAGAAAGTATACATTTTGCTGATACATGGTCCTCTTGAAACAACCCCTCCCCCAACAACAAAAACAAGAAAACAACAAACACCACCCAACAAAAACACCAACAACCCAACAAGCAATAAATACAAAACAAAAACTAAGCATTCACAACAAAATAAAAACAAAACAACATCAATAACAAAGAATGTATTCTCTTACTAGTGGCGCGGTTCTCCCTGATCTCTTCTTCCTCTGAAGTGTTCTTTTCTTTCTTTATGTCGGGCTCGTCGTCATTGGCTAAGGCATAATAATTTCCTGCAGTAAAGTCGATCAGTAAATTCATAATAATTTCCTGCAGTAAAGTCGATCAGTAAAATTTTAAACACACTCAAAGAACAATGTCCTGCCTGCAAGATAATCAGGCATCTGGAGAGACGAGATTCTGTATATCCTCAGTGACAAACTCTCATCAAATGACAATTATTAAGTGATGGGGCGCAAACCGTTTGAAAATGCTCCATGTTAATTGGCTTTTTCGCAAAGTTGCGGAAAAGCCTTTGTTTTTGTTCTCATTCTTTTTTTTTCTTCCTGTTGTTTTTGTTCTATCCCCAAATTCCATATAGACTTTGTACACGATTTTTCTATTATTCACTTTGAGCATTCATCTTTGTCATACATCATTCATAGCTGACCTATGCGGAGTCCCTATAACAAAGTTGTATGCCGAAGAGTGACTTACGATGACGTCATCATAGGTCACGTGACGTCATCATTAATGAAAATATTTTAAGATCCTATATATAGAGAACTGCAAATCCAACTGGGTTGAAACTTGGTTTGTAGGAGACCGGGAAGTACTATGGGTGCAAATTGAGATGACGGGATGATGACGTCATTTTATTGTATTTTGGTTAGTTTTTGAACCCTTCATCCATATCTCATCAACAGAACAAGCTAACTTCGAAATTCTGTTTGTAATGGGTTTATTGATATATATATTTTGACCAAACATGGAAAAGTGTGTGACGTTATGGTGACTACTTCAAAAATACATGTATATGGGAAGGTCCTACCGTCGTTGAAAATGGTGGGAACCAAATAATTTCTTAATAAATATGCCGAAAGTGACGCCACAATGACGTTATCGGTTATCGATTAAAAAAACACAAGTATTTTCAATATTGCATTCTACCCAAACAATTTGACTCTGTCTTTGCTCAGATGGACTCAAACTTGACACAGAACAAGATCATGTATTTGTGTTCCTTAACTGTGGGGACCGAGGACGTTTTACCCTAACAAGGAAAAACTTCCCCATAATGTGGTGACGGCCCGCCCACATTGTAATTATGTGCATTGACAAGTGCCATCATCATGATGTCATCATGGGGCACGTGAGGTCATCGTAAATGTTCATTTTTCAAAGTCCTATATCTAGATAATGAAAGTTCGATGGCATCTTAACGTATGTTTAGATGTAGGGTATGTGATAGATGAAAATCGCCCCGCAGTGTTGGAGGTCTCGAGGCCGGCCTCGAGGCCGATTTTCATGGCCTTGGCCTCAGTCGGCTTGGCCTCGGAGGTGCAAGGCCTCGGCCTTGGCCTCGGCCTCGGAGCCTTCCGGCCTCGGCGAATCGGTCGAGGCCGGCTCGAGGCCGCCCATTTTGATGTGTTTTCTATTCTAATTAATTTTAATTTTTTACCGTATCAAACCCTCGAGATTCTGCCGCAGTGGGTTCCGTGAAACGAACGCATATACAATGTACGCACGAATGAACTGGAAATGGTTGCATTGAACGTACTCACGTACGTAGCATCTTCGCCTAGCCTGCGCTTCAGCTTTCCACGTGCGTGCAAGCGTTATAACTGTTACCGCGGGCCAGACTACATAAGTCTGGCACCAATCCCATCTGCGTACAATGTGGTAGTAGACTAGTCTGGTTGCAGTGTTGTACAAAATTTTCTCGTTTCACCTCTGTACCCCGACCTTTAAAAATGATTTGCGGCAAGGTGCCGCAAGCTTAATCATTTTTTTTATAGGCCACTGTTTCAGTAAAAGTCTGAACTTTCTGGGTACGATCGAGTGTACTAGTCCGTACCATTTTTTTTCATAAAGATATGATAAAAACAGTTACGATTTATCATCCAAATGAATGCAAAGTTCTGAATGAATGTTTGAATAATAGGAGTCAGTATTCCTCGTGGTACCAGGATACTTTTATGTATTTTTCCATGTATAAGCACGGTTAGAAATTGACTAATTTTGCGTGGTTACAGATATACGGCCAAAACCTCTGGACTCCCTACCTCTTGCCATGATCTTAAAATTCTTCGAAGCCATT